AAAATATCTCATAAAAAAATATGTTATGTAGAATTGTAATACAAACAACTTTTGGTCGAGGGTCACATCAGAATTCCTCACCGAATCAGAGATAAAAAAAAAAAAAAAGCACACTAAAGAACCCCCCTTAACCTCTCTAAGCCCTTTTAAAAATAATTTATACCCTTCCTTCCCCCTCGTGACAGCCAAATCTCAAAAAATGAAACGAGCCTGGATTTGAGGTCTTTTGGGAGAGCGCATAAAAATATATTTATTATTATTATTTTATTTTATTTTTTGCACACTCATGTGTCCGGCCGTGCAGACCCGCCCGGGTATGGAAAACTTCCTAGGTTCTATTCATATGGATTAAGTTTACATAAAATTAAAAAATAGTATATACCATGTATTCATGACTTAAAATGAACAATAAACGAAATTTATAAGACTTAAAATAAATGGTCTGAGGCATATTTACAAACATGTGTACACACAGAGTGTGCACATAATTTAAATACTACATTCGAACCTCTTCTATACAAGACAGTTCCCTACCACCCTTGACTTTATCGAAATGCTAGTGAAACATTTTTATTTTTATATTTGTTTCTGCCGCTAACCGTCTTGGTTTGGTTGCTTCGAACCTACAATTTTTTATAGAGAGAGTCTTATGTTGCTCTTAAGTTTTTTGTGGTCATATGCGGAACTATCGACACATATTACTTTGTCACCAAGTGTCGACACAAACGAAGTATGTATAAAACTTCAAATTATACTATGTACAAGATATGTACATAGACTTTTAAGGATGTGTCAACACAGACTATGTAGTTAGGTTTTAAAATACGTATGGATATAAACAATGCACATCCTCGCATTATAAATGTTATTGATGTAATGAGTCGCCTTGACACCAGTCTCACTACTTTACTGCTAACTAAAGGTGCATAATCTCCCTGTTGTTTAAGAGGGTATCGCCTATAGTAATCACAAGCGTCATCCAAAGAGTGTCCTCGTACCGTCAGAACATTAGGCTCCAAGGATGCATCTTGATATGCGTTTTTCGTCCCTCTACCAGCACAACGAAGACAATATCACCCAAAGGCAAATTGTATATCAGGAATCGGTCCCCCCTAAACGACCCCCAAGACATAGCAACCAATGTGTAAGCGGCCTGCGTCGATCGACGCCCTTTAACCACGTGCTGAAGTTGCAAGTCTAAAAATTTAAAATTTTGAATTTGCAACCTCATATTACAATGCGTATTTGACACTTAATGGCTTTGGGGGGTGTTGTTCGTAGAGAAGCACAAATAGGTTTAAAGAGGCTTGTACAAAACTCAGATTCTGCCAGTAGGGGTATTGTAGTCCGTACTATGATACAAAATCGCGCCAGAATCAAACTTGGTTTAGTTTTCACGGTAAAAAATATCGAAACAATTAGGTTTGGTATGACTGTTACATGTCCAAAGCAATGAAAGTGGCAGCGACGCCATTTCAATCTTATTCGATTGCGTTATATTAAAAAAAACAAAAAATAAAAAATGGTTCGTTCCACCAAGAGTCCATTCGATGATAACATGCTTTATTATAGTTTTAGGCTATGGAAACATTTGAATTAAAAAAGGCCATGAAAGTGGCAGTGATGTTTGTTCAATTTTATTTGATTGCGTTAGATAAAAAAAATTGCAAACAAAAAGTGGTTCGTTCCACCAAGAGTCCATTCAATGATAACCTACTTTATTGTAATTTTAGGCTACGAAAACACTTGAATTAAATCCATACCATAAGAAAGAGGATACACATATAAATATAGGTTATGAAAAAAATCATATGAGGCAAAAGTCTCATGCATGGTTCAATAACCAAGCCATATAAGAAAAAAAATGGTTTAACTAAAAAATTGTTGGTTCCCACAAAGTGGAGGGTCATACTAGTCGTAGGCTATAAACAACATAAGCCAAAACCACCTTGAGGGATCTAGGAGTGAAAAAAAAAAAGTAGGAAAAAAAATGTGAATAAAAGCAACCGTACTAGTGGTGCTATATGCAACACTGTGAAGGATATGTGGTTTGGGAGGGGAAGCTGCGAGACAATACTCTCACAGTAGGGTTGGGCACCCCATCGGTTGAGAGCAGGTTAACGAAGACCGTAGTTTTCAGACCACTTGTCATGTCGTTTCTAAGAAAACCAATGGGTTATTTTAACCAAAGATGCTGATGGCTGGGAGCGCCGATCCCAATCGATACCTTCCCATAGTCAGTACTAAGGTTGAGTGTTGATCTTGAGAGGAAAATCTTTACGTGTTTGAGTGCATTGGGGGGTGCAGGGAAGGAATGGGGCATACGAACCCATTGGGAGTATGACCGTCGACGATGGGTCCCACTGGGTGAGTGCAATACCTACTCTGAGAGTGAGGGAAGGCTCGACACGCCAACCCTCATGGCAGGGCTGCTCTTGGTGGCTGCGTGACAGGACCCCCCTAAATCGTCTTCAACCTGCACAACCTTGGTGATCGTGAGTTTAGTACTCACTTCGAGAGTGGCACTATAAAAAACGGTAATGTAAGAAATCTCGAATTTGGGCATCTTGCGGCCAACTTGGACATGCACATCTAGGTTTTTGCAAGATGTAACAAATCTCTGATCACGACAGTCATGTCCTAATGGGCCAATATGAAAAATTTAAGATCGCGCAACAATCCAGACCATCAGCTGGTACGATTGGACCAACAACCCAAATGGACGTGGAATCTGCCCAATGGACCTAGAATATGCTTACCAATACCAATAATCCCTACCTCTACCCCACAAAAAGTTAGTGACAGTAGGTGTATGTGTGTAGTATGTGTGTTCATGTATGCGTTCTGGCGTCCGTGGGTGCATGTGTGCGTATGGGTCTTGCTCCACTACTATACGCTATACAAATTTTCGGAAAGTTTGTGTATAGCTGTCAGAGTGAAAGAAAACGTAGAGTCTGCGGCGTCTCTCCACTTACTATTCGGCATACAACTCTCCAATTCGTCTCCAAAATGTGGTTGTATAGAGGACAGTAGTGGAGTGGTATACAACTTTCCAATTCGACTCCGAAATGTGGTTTATAGCGGACAATAGTGGGCGCACGTGGATAGTGCAAAACGACGAGCGGTCAGATTTGTCGGTCTGGACTCGACGCTGAAGAGTGGTTTCCTTCGAGGAGTATTCGAGTAGCGACTTTCGCAGGCTGGGAACTATACACCGATGGAGAGTGCAATCTACGACTGATATCTGACAACTATCCGAGCGACGTGTATAGTGGAGAGCGAGTGGAGCGACGCTGAACTCTTCAAATTCGGAGAGTGCATACTAGTGGAGGTAGACCCTGTGTGTGTGTGTGTGATGGAGTGCAATGTGACAAGCATGTGCATAGTGGAGAGTGAGTGGAGCTACACCCAACTCTCCAAATTCGGAGAGTGTATACTAGTGGAGAGAGACCCTGTGTGTGTGTGTGTGTGTGCATGTTTGGATGTGCTTGCGGTGTGTGAGTGTGTATGTGCGCCCATGTGTGGATGTACTTGCTGTGTGTGTGTGCGTGTGCACCCATGTGTGATGTGCTTGGGTCCCCACACTATAAACCCACTATGAAACTCTCCATTGAAGGCCATCTGCTGTCGACCGGGAAGGCCCAGATCGTTGCAAGACGTAACAAATCTCGGATCAAGGTCCAACGGCCTGCATCTTCCAATATCTCGCCGTTGTGTCCAACGGCCTGCATCTTCCAATATCTCGCTGCAATCCAGGCCACTGGCCCAGATGGACCTAGAATCTGCCATTGGACCTGGAATCGGCCTAATGGACCAACAATCTGGCTAAGGGTACTGGTAGGCCCCACCGCCGCCCAACCAGTAGAGCTACCCCCCCTCCAGCAATATCGTCAGTGCCTTGTGTAATTGTGTGTGCCTGCGCGCGTGTTTGTGTGTGCACGTGCTTGCATGAGTGTGGGTGTGTGCATGCATGTGCTTGCATGAGTGTGGGTGTGGGGGTGCTGTGCTCGCCACATCCACACACACACACAGAACAGTCATGGTTTTTTTGAGTGTATAGCGAATACGAAGAGAGAGAGAGAGAGAGAGAGAGAGAGAGAGAGAGAGAGAGAGAGAGAGAGAGAGAGAGAGAGAGAGAGAGAGAGAGAGAGGGCTGGGCGGGCGCATAAGCAGTGTGGTGCTCTGGATGGACGCTGGAAGCCGCCAACGGTCGAAACCTTTTTTTCGTAGTCGGAGCGGTCAACAGGACCGCGCGAAAGAGGTAAGTCGCGATGTTATCCTTCCTCCTCGTCCTTCTCCTACTCCCTCTGCCCTCGGACTCTTCATCTTTCGACAGCCTGCAGCAATACCCGTCTTCACCTGCTTTACCCATTTCTCTTCCCCCATTGCGACCTTCCCTCGCGCTGACCTTTTCTCGCCAACGTCTTCAGATTGTAAGATCCGGCTGCTTCAGCTCCCGTCATTGCGCAGTTCCCCCGCTCTTCTTGCGTCCGTGCCATTATTTTCTATCTCGCTCAAGCATATCGTGTTTGTGTGTCACACACACACACACACACACACACACACACAAACACACACACACACACACACACACACACAGAGAGAGAGAGAGAGAGAGAGAGAGAGAGAGAG